TTTTGTAATGTTGTTTATTTGTTTGGGAAGAAAATGCTGTTGCATTGGATTTATCTTTGAGTTCGTCTGATAGGATTTTTGTGTTGATTAATGTATTGGGTTGGTTTCAAAAGGCGAGGCTGGTCGGAGGCGGAGAATACCTGGGAGCCTGTGGAGAATCTGTTGCAATGTTCAGATATTATAGATGCATTTGAAGAAAGGTTTATAATTCGTTCCCTGTTGTTAATATGCTTTTTGTGCTTTCCTAGTGTTAGGCTGTAGTGTGTTTGTGAATCATAATAGTCAAGAAAGATAATTACTTGATTTCAGTCTTTCTGAGCCACTCGTGTTTATCTCGTTGTCCTTTTTTGATTTTCGGATTCATGTTGCTCTTTTTTCTGGATTTGAAGTCTGAAACCGGGGAAAAGTAAGCCGACACGCAAAAGAAAACGCAAGGCTGCTGTAACTCCAATCCAACCCAAGAAAAAACAACCGGACAAACAGCATCAATATCATCAGCAGAGATCTCCTGCTGCTGCTACTTACAGCGTGCCCTCGAATGTGATAAGGATTGGCAATGAGCCTTTGCCCTTTTCCAGGCTAAAAAACATCACCTATATAAATGAGAGTGGGCAGACAACTGTAAATGGGTTAAACCGTTTCGAAACTTCCAAGAAAGCAGGTGAGAATGGTGCAAGAATGGTTTCTGCTGTTCGAGAGGGAGAAAAAGAACAAAACGAGTTGAATTTGAAACTCTCCGAGTTTAAGGGGGCAATGGTGGCCGGCCATGAAGATTCTCTCTGGCTTGCTCAAACATCGCAAGCAGGCCAACGACCAACAGGAGATAATTTGGCGAATGAATTAAGGAATGAGAGGGTGGATCCTGTGCATGTCGGTCGTTTTACAGGTGCTAAAAGGAGGAAATCGGGTTCTGTCAAGAGGTTCCGGAAAGATCCAGAATCGTGCTCTGTTGATGATGCAGCGAATGGGGTGTCGGCTTATGGGCTCCTCGCGCCTGAGAATGTTCTGTGCCCTGATTTTCTCAGGAATGATTCGTACGAGGATTCCAAAAGCATGTGCACGATTAAACAGATTGTGAAGCCTATTAGCTATAAATCTTCCATGTCAAACAACGTCCAAGATGTCTTGGTGGCGTTTGAGGCGATCAGGTTTGTGATCTTATATTACTGCTGTATTTTCATTTTTTGTTTTGTATGACAATAGATATTATTAAATTTTTATGTGAAACTAGGTGTATCCTTGGGGATGCTATACATATAAAATATATCTATCTTAGTGCACATGCAATTGCGAACATTTATTTGCTGTCGTTATGAGAGATCTTGTATGATAATGATTTATATTAAAAAACACCAACCAGCTAACAATCTGTTTCAACATTGTGCTGTTGCTTTCGACTTTTTTGATACTTGTGCATTTCTGTTTGCATGTAGCTGTTTTTAGGCTTTCTTTAATGCTTGTTAGGACGTGTCCATAAACATTGGGCATAATATTGATAGGATGGGATTTTGTTGTGTGGTCTTCTAGAGTGTAGACATAATTTATTTCACTGTTCTATTGGAGGATCTGATATATTGCCGTGGAGAATAACGAGTCTAGTCAGCAAAAATGGTCATAAATATATGATATAATCTTAGAGCAGATAAGTATATGTTGGTTTGGTGATACTCTGTCAAGGATTGTCCATTACTACCTTTTAACACTTGGACTATTCTAATTATGTGCATACTGGAGGTTTNTTATTAAACTATTCTGTGTTCAAACCAAGTGAAGATGAAGTCTCTCTTTGCTAACATTTGGAGTTAGCTTAATGCAGGCATGTCGTAGTATGTTATACAGTCCAATATCTTTCCTGTATTTATTATTACTCATAATTCTCCATGAAAAAAATTATACATGAAATTGATTTTCTAGTATTATTTAAGTTTGGAAAAAATAAAAAACATTGCACATTGAATGATGCTAGCACAATTCTCCAGACTAGCAGCTCCTTGTATTTCTCTCTGTAATTTAAATGCAAACTCCTGATGAGACAATTAATATTACGTGATCAACAAAGCAATTTTATTTCTGAAAATGAGATGCTTTGAAGTGAAACTCAGTGTATTGTCCTTGTCTTTCTTTTTTATTTTAATTGTTTTTCTAAATTTCTTACCCCGACTTGCTTGGGACTAAAGGCTATGTTGTTGTTGTTGTTGTTGTCTAAATTTCTTCAATTTGTCGGGTCATGACGTGCAGTATTCGTAACTTACTATTTCTGTCAAAATGACATGAAATTTCTCGCTGGCTTCAGGTCTGATGGAACGAAAGTGATAGTGGATAACAAATTTTTAAAAGCTAACAATCCACTTCTGGTACGTGTTCCATACTTACATTCTTCCCCTTCATTCTTTCTCTTCCTTCAATTATTTTGTTGTTATGAATATTTTTTTTTTTTTAAATTTTATAATAGTTATTTTTTAACCTTTACAACTATGACTTATGAGTGGCATGTATCTTTCTTACTCAAGTTACCATTTTTTATTTTATTTTTTTCGATTCTGTTATGCAGCTCATAGACTTCTATGAGAAAAATTTACGGTACAGCCCAACATGACAAAACTGGTTGGCCGAGCTGGCAGCAAGGGTATCTTGTAATCGTCCTGTACAGTGTGGTAACTTCTTAGCAGTAAAAACCTTGTACACCCAAAGGAAGTGCGGTAAATAGTTTGTGTGGATTTTGTCACAGCTAAATTTGTATGGTTGTTGTGGGTCAGTTTGACAGATTTACCCTCATGTGGTCAAGCGATCGGTGGATGATATGGTGAAGTTTATGAAAACTTCCATTTTCTTCTCGACTCATCCTTTTCGTATGCTTCATCTGTTTGCCTTATTGATGCAATGCTGGTTGATGTGGCGCGTATAAACTCTGTGTGTAATGGTGAAAACCTTTTTTNTAGTTTATTTAGGCCTCCTTTCGGCGGGTACTTCAATTTTCTGGTAATCACATTTCTTTAGCGCATCAACATCGTTAGTCATTGTTCAATTTTGATTCTTCTGGTTTGCGACTTTTGCGTACTTGATATTACTAGTTAATTTAATGCATTTGGCATATAATTTCAATAAATATACAATATATATTATTTTCGGTCCAAATATGTAATTCTAAGGTTGCTTTTAGATAAACGTAACAACTAGACCGTTATAACATTGCAAAATATACGTATGATTTTGAATCGAAATTTTGTACTTTAAAAAATAACAAGTATGCCATTTTATAATATATGTATACATTTTTTGAAATTTTATACTTTAAAAAATAACAAATATGCCATTTTATAATATATGTAAACTTTTTTTTTTATTAAGTATGATAGTACACCCGTCTAATATTTAGACTAGTTTATAAAAAACTAGTGTATGCAATTTGGTGTGTGGTGAGGTCCAAAAAAATATGCAAATTTTATTAAAGTTGCGAATAAACGAACAATTGAGTTGGTCACAATTGTTTCTTTTCCTTTTGTGAACATTTTTTAGTCAAGATAATTTTGTACTATGATATTATTAGGTGGATTTAGACCTTAGTCTCAAAATTAACAAAGTTTAACAAGTTTTTGTTTGACAACGAATTGTTAGATTTTAAAAAAAGAAAAAAAGAAAAAAAAGAAGAAGAGAAGATTGGCCTTTTAGAATACAAATTTTTGTAATTATATGTATCAAATTATATATAGGGTTGAGAGTAATCCATGTAGATTTTGTACTTTTATTAATGTTTATCAGGACCTTTAATATTTGGTCAATAAAAAACCTAATAATCTTTTTATTTGTTATTGGTTTTTCAAATATAATATATCATATAAATCATTTTTAATAGTATTTAATTTGACATTCATATCACATATATAAATGAAAAAATTTATATGACATCCATATTACATTTATAAAATAAAAAAATTATATATTTCTATAAATATAAATTAAATAAAATATTAATACAATTTTCTAAGTACTTAAAAGTTTAAAATAAATACTTCTATTTTATTTTTAACTAAAACAACATAAATTTTTGTACGACACAACTTAGTAATTAGTTGAGCCGTTATGTGAACAATAATAAATACTTATACTATTAAATATTATATTTTTATTTATTATTTATCAAAATATAATATTTAAATACAAAAAATATAACATGCTTATTGGAAAGCTCGTTTTTTGCCGCTTTTCTCCCCCACTCAACTCTTTGCCCTTCCCACAAAACTGTGAACCCTTCACTCGGAATCTAAAGGAGTCGATCAAGGCAGACGTAGAAACTGAAGCAGAGAAAATGGACGACAAAAACCCCGAGACTGTCTCTGCAAATCTCTCCGAAGAACTAATCAGAGAGATCCTTTTGAGGCTGCCGGCGAAATCCCTTCTGAGGTTCAGGTGCGTCTCAAAATCCTGGCTTTCCCTGATTTCGAGTTACAATTTCGTTAAGGCCCATGCTCAATTTTCGATGGAGAGCAGTGCAAAATCACGCGAAAAACTTATCTTCGGCTCCAAAGGCCTACCTCTGGTTTTGTACTCTTGCTCAATTCAGTCTATTATCGAGGGTAGTTCAGATTTCGCTGGTCAGATCTACCCTGCAGCTCATGGCGATTTGCCATTCGAACGGGTTAAGCTTAGTTTCCCCTTCACCGAACGACATGACGTGCTGCGGCTTGTGGGATCCTGTAATGGATTGGTCTGCGTTAGGTTTTCGCCCAACACCATCGTTTTGTGGAACCCCACGACAAGGAAATTCAAAAAATTGCCCGAATCGGGCATATGTTGGATCCGTTGGGGTTACGAATACTACAACACATCGTTAGCTTTCGGTTATGACAAACTTCACGATGATTATAAGGTGGTTGAGTTTCTGGGCAATCTGGATCGTTATGAGCCCGGCTATTGTGAGAATCGAGTAATGGTTTACAGCCTTAGGGCAAACTCATGGAAGCTATTGTCCGACTGGCCGGGTGGTGATGTATTTGGTGGGCTCGGCCAGTTTCTAAACGGAGCCATCCATTGGAGTGTGATGGACAAAAACAGACCCGATGTATGTGTTATTGTTGCTCACGATCTTGCTACCGATACTTTCTTCGAGTTCCCTTCACCGAATCTTGATAGTAATAACATCAGGGTGAGGGTTAAAGTTTTAAACGGTTTTCTTGCTTTGCATTGCGAGCATAAGTTCTGCGTGGATTTTTGGGTGATGAAAGAGTATGGCGTGAGTGAATCGTGGACTAAATTGGTCCGCATCCCGTTTCTTGATATGAATCGACGCAGGTTCTTCATTCCCCGCCTCTTGTTTCTCTCCCCTGACCGAAAGGCTTTAATTAACAGTGGGGCTAATTTGGGCGTATATGATCTTAGCGATCCTCAGTGGTATCACATTAAAAGTTCTGTAAATTCCATTTGGGTCGAGGCCACAACTTATACCGATAGTCTAGTTTCTCCCAGACTTGACGAACATGTATTTACCATTTGCCGTGAACTGCCCTTACGAATCAGAACAGATATCCTCTTGAGATTGCCTGTCGAGCCCCTCCTCTGTTTCAAATCCGTCTCGAAAGATTGGCGTACGTTAATATGTAGCCCCGATTTCGTAAGAGCCCACCTCAGAATGAACCGGGAAGAAAAGCTCATGTACAGCTCTCGAGGTAGAACTCATCTGAACTTGTACACTTGTTCTATCAACTCCTTGATCGAGTGTTCTCCGATTGTGAATCCCTTGACCGATCATATCCATTCGTTAATAACTTTCGATTCTCTTCCCGTAAGGCCAAACACGACGAATATAACCTTCGTGGGGTCTTGTGATGGTTTGGTCTGTTTGTCTTTGGACCAAAACACTGTTGCCTTAGTGAATCCGGCCACTAGGGTGTCGAGAATACTACCTAACTCCGGCTCGAGTAATTTCTATTACGAACCTGAGTTTTATGGCCTTTCGTATTCTTTCGGTTATGACGAGGCGGACGACGATTATAAGGTGCTCGAGCTCGTGACCTTCACGAATGAGGCATTCGGGTATGAGACTCGATTTAAGGTTTACAGCACGAGGGCCAATTCTTGGAGGAAGTTGTCGGATTGGGAGGGTAAATACGGTTATTTCCGGGCGGGCGTTTTTGTAAACCGGTCGATCCATTGGCCAGTGAAAGGGTTAGAAGGATTAGATTTTCTGAGTAGGGATAAATGGGTCATTCTATCGTTTGATCTCGCCACAGATACATTTCTTCAATCTGAACCTCTCCCGGTGAATCTTGATCAAGATAATGACGCCATGATACTTGATGTAGGCATTTTAAGCGGCTGCCTTGCTGTGTATTGCAAGCGAAATACGGGCATGGATTTGTGGGTGAAGAAAAAGGAGTTATGGACTCGAGTGGTTCGAATACCGTATTTTGAGGAGCTTCCGGATCCTGAACGTTTCTTGATTCGTGCCTTGTGCACGTCGTTTGATGGAAAGAAGATATTGATGAATTACAGGTGGAGTTTGGAGATCTGTGATTTGAGCTACCCTTTGGCCCACCGTTTTGTTGTGGGCTCGATAGTTGATGGGTTGGCCTATGTGGAAAGCCTAGTTTCACCTTACTATTGATGAAGAAGAAGAAGAACATGATGATCATAGCTAGAGAGGGAAAAGGGAGCTGAGGTCTGTAACTAATTATCCATATATATTTTTTCATCTTTTGGCATTTGTTGTGGTGAAATTTTCATTACATTCCGCTTAAAATTTCGTCTCAAGGGTGCATTATGTTTTTTTGGTGCTATTGACTCTTTTCTTGATTGTCATTCTTAATTTCTAACTAAGAGCTATGTTGTTATGGATTGCCCCCTAAAGGTTGCTTACTTAAGGGCATATCGACATTTTTTGGTAGTTTCAGTATGAAAGTTTGTAGCTACCATTATTTTTTTTTTTCTACGGTTGAATCAACCCACACTCATATTGGTGTGTGGGTTTTGTGTCGATGAGTCCATGCAATGGTTAACAACTCTGTGCTTTTACTGCGGAGAATTGAATTTGTGTTAAATGATGGCAAAATAATTGTTGAAATTCTCTTTGTATTCAAGAACACTCATTTATAAAGGAGATAGATACTTCATTAGTATCCTAGTAACCTGAATTTGCCTATATGAAAAAGGAGATGATTTTCGTATTCCATGAATTAATGTATTGACTTATTATGCCCCAAATTTGTTTATCTTAGGACAACAAAATTGATGCGGAATCGTATAAGCATCAATATTCAGAAACAGTTTTGATTCTTCTAGTTTGCGACTTTTGCGTATTTGATATTACTAATTAATTACTTAATTTAATGGATTTGGCATATTGTTTCAATATTTTATATACAATATATATGAAAAATGATAGATACACAACACGTGAAAAATATCCACATGTGTATTTTTTAATTTTTATTTGTATGGATGTTCTTACTTGTGTTGTCAACCTAGTTGTACATTAAATTGGCAATATAACATTTCCTAATATATATTATTCTGCCAAACAAATACGTAATTCTAAGGTTACTTTTAGATAAACTTAACGGTTAAACCGTTACAATATTACAACCTATGCTTTCGAATCGAAATTTTATACTTTGAAAAATATTAAGTTTGACATTTTATAATAATATTTATAAAAAAATTATATATATATACATATTTATAAATATTTTATTTAAAATTCATATTACATATATAAAAATAATTATATATATATATTTATAAATATTTTAAAATATTAATACAATATTTTAAAAAGTACTTAAAAAGTTTAAAATAAAAACTTTTATTTTTGAATATAATATTTTTAATTAAAACAACATAAATTCTTGTATGGTACGACTTAGTAATTAGTTACACGATTTATTAAAATATATGTTCGTCATTTAATAAACATATATGTTCGCCATTTAATAAAAATATGTAACATTCAA